TGCGACCATTTGGAAACTTGAGCGCAATTTTGAAAAATCTTAGAAATTGAACAATATCTTTAAATCTAACGAAATTTTGCACACTTATGAGTTAAGGCTTCCTTGGTTAACGTTCAAATTTGCAGCCTTAGATCGCCATCAGTTCGCGACTAGTAAATTTTTAGCTAAAAGCGCGCACTTTGGCGACGATTTATGGATTTGAGCGCAATTTCAAAAAATCGTAGAATCTTTTAACAGCTTTGAAGAAAGCTGTGAATTTTTAAGCATAAACCTGCAAAACAGTAAAGCGCACAGAAAATGAGCTGCTCGCAACGTATTTAAAAACTCATATTTTGCATCTACAGATAGTTAGAGAATTGTTCACTTTTCCTCAACATGAACAAGAGAAGTTATCACCTCTAGCGATGAGTTTTTTGGAAAATCTTCAAAACCAAGCAGGACCAAAATCTTCCAAGAACCGAGAGAAAACCCCCCATTTCTAAACATTGAGGAAGAGGAAGAGAAACACCATAAGCACATGTTATTGAATCAAAGGCCTCGAGCGATTCAACAAAGGCTTTCTTCTAATTGTAATAACGCAAACAAATGGAGCTTCCAGTGAAGTTATCGACGACTTCTGGTTGATTCTCGCGGTTTAAAAACGCTAACTGTGCATAGATCGCAGTTAAGTACGATTTTTCAGACAACAAGACAGATGTTGTGTAAAGTACCGGTCTTGGCATTATGATATTGCCCTTGTCGAATTTTTATAGCGGTTTATGGTGGCAGCTGGTTGGGGCATTTCGGTAACCATTTGAATACGTAACTGGTTGCCAGTTAATTACACGATTCCACATCATAAACCATGCAACAACATTGTTTCTTCGGCGATGGAGTTTGTTCAAAACTGAAGAAAATGTTGGATAAAGTCCACAAGAAAACGGCTTTTTGTTAATCACAGAGTTACGGTAACTCCGGGCTTGTGTTTATTGTTTTTACTAATTGCTTGATGTAATGGGCGTAATAAAAATAAAAATTCCTGCAACATCTTCCGATCAGATTAAAATCGACAGATTTATGAAGCCGAGTCTGGACCGGAGCTTCGAATTGATGGCACTTAATTAGTCCGCCGAAATACCAACAAGAGTATTTGCATTTTTTAATACTTATGCATGTGAACGGATTATGAATGGCACAAAAAGAGAGTGCGAACAAATATCATCAATAATAATCTTCCAACAGCATGTTTTGCATACTTTTTGTGTGCAACAATCGACCTAAATTTTACGAATTGGACGTTTAACTGAAGTAACAGTTAGGTTCCTCGAAGATGTTGCTTGACTTCGTTTTTTTCTCTGTTTTCAGGAGATATGAGTGAGATTGGTCCAGAGTGCAGGCCTAGATGGAAGCATGCGTAACTCTATGGCAAGCGTCATGGCTTTTGGCACTGATTGCTATGGTGCAAACGCAGATAACTACCGAAATTTTGAAGATTACCAGGCACAATAGCGGGGATATTTTCTCTTCAGCTCCAGGTAACTTCTAAACTATGAATGATGAATGTCCCCTGTTTTTTGAGAATCGTTTCTCCGTTTCTTTGCTGTTTGAATCTTCGTCTATAACTGTACAAAAATGGAGGTTTCTTTCGGCGCTGCTGGGAGTTCTGAAGTTTTGTAAAGAGCGGTGCATGATGGTCATCGTTTTCTGAAGAATCTGAAGGCTTAAAAATTCCAGAAAATCGACAAACTCTTCGAACGGATTGAACCTCCACGTATTGGCTTAAGTTTGGTAAATAACGGGTTAAAAGTTTGGCTTTTTACCTCTTCTCATTTAGGCGTTATGCATTTTATGAACTTTCAAAAAACGGTTCAAAATGATGACGCCGCCATTCAATTCTCTATCCAACGATGCCAAAACGAATTCTGTGGCTCGAATGGTTCTTGAGAAACTTCGAAAAAAGCAGCGTCATGATCAAGTGGATTTTGCCACTTAAAAAAAACCACGCAAATCTAAAACTTCTTGAATTCAAGCATTTTTTGAGAAAACTGCCAACATTTCTTTATCGATGGTTCGCTTTCTAAACAGGCCATTTATTTCTGTCTAGAATGATGTACAAATGAGCGTTCTTGCTCATTTTGCCTCCGAGAAATGAACAAAAACGGGACGAAAAACATGAAATTTTGACATAATCTTTCACCTAAGTGTCTGATATTCAAATTTCGCTTTCTCTGTCAAAACTACTCGAATTTCCTCACTCACGTTGTTACGACTGAATCGACTTTTCAATTCTCTACCCAACGATGCCAAAACGAATTCTGTGGCTCGA